GAACTTGGGTCCCATCCCAGCCTGTGGGTGGGCTGGCTGGTGGGAAAGAGTTTTTCACCAGGATGTCTTCCTCAGCCAAGGTCCTGGTGCACTGTGTGGTGGGTGTGAGCCGCTCTGCCACGCTGGTCCTGGCCTATCTCATGCTGCACCAGCAGCTGTCCCTGCGCCAGGCAGTGATCACCGTGAGGCAGCACCGATGGGTCTTCCCCAACCGAGGCTTCCTGCACCAGCTCTGCAGGCTGGACCAGCAACTGCGGGGTGCCAGCCAGAGCTGAGGGCCCAGGTGAGGCCTCAGGGGGTGAAGCTGGATGTGGTTGGCAGGAAGAGGCCAGGTGAGGGCCTGGGCTGCCGACATAGGGTTGGGTTCTTCCGGGAACGGTTAGCAGGGCTGCCTGCGTGTGGCTGGAAGTAAGGATTAAAGGGGGCCTGGCCTGCTCCCCAAGCTGCTGGGTTCCCTTCACCTACCCAGGGCATCACCCAAGGGCCCGGCCTAAGAAATTCTCCTGTAGGACCCCCAACCTGTCTCCCCCACCCTACCTGGATCCTTCAGACCCCAAAGAGAAGAGAAGGACTAGGACACGAGGGCGTGGGAAGCATAGAATGGAAGAGGGGAGGCCTTCCTGCCTGGTCCTGGCTCCAACCTGCCCTGCCTCAGCTGAAAGCCTGTGGGGGCTCCTCTAAATTCCACCGAGGCATCTGCGCAGCTAGCCTGGACCCTCCCGCACCTCCACATCCCGTTCCCCTGAGGTCTGGACCCCAGGTACAGTGCCGCAGAGAAAACCTTCCTGGCTTAGCTAATTCTCATCCATGAGCTGAGGTCAGGCCTCCAGGGCGGCTCCCCATCCCGCAGGGCCTGCTTCCAGCTCTGCATCCCCTCCAGCTCCTTCCCTGTCTCACCTCAACCCTGTCTTTGGCTGTCCTTGCCACCCTACTGCAGAGGAACTGCCATTTGGGGCTGGGTGACTACCTTGGGCGTGCTTGGGAGCTGGAACAGCAGCAGCTTTTTCCTCCAGAAACCTCCCGGGGTAGGGCCTGACTCTCTCCCTGCCTCCCACCTGTAAGAGCTGTTCCTGTCTCTGAAGGCACAGCCAGCCCCACCAGAAGGGAGGGCCTCCAGCAGCATGGAGCCCTTCCCATGTGCTGGCTGGAGGGTGAGCATCTTGCGGCGGAGGATTAGGGAAGTCTCTGGGGCTAAGTTTAGAGTTTGGGGGTGAGTGTGATAAGAAACTTTGGGTTATAGCTGGGCTTGGGATTGGCCTGGGGCCAAGCTGTGGCATGGAGCTCTGTGGGTATAGGGTTTGAGGGGGGCATGCTCCCTGTAGAATGGCAAATTCCCAGCCTGCTCTCTCTCCTCTAGACAGGATTCAGGAACCTGGCAGAGCAGCAGATCTCAGACCATGTCCAGTCACCCCTCTACCTCAGCCTGGGGCCTTAGGCACCCTGACCTCTGAGCTCAGTATCTTTCCTGACAGGGAGCTGACTTTGGGGGAGTTGGCTGGGCAGGAGTGCAGCACTGCACAATTCACAGGGGTGTCATCCACCAAATTGTGCAACTGGAGGCCCTAGGAGTTACGCAGCGTGCAGCCTGTGCAACTGTACACAGCAGCTCTGGGTCTAGGGACTCTGAAAGACAAGGGGCCCATGGGGAAAGTCATCTCTGTCCCTAAGCCATGGATACCAAATCTACCTCCTCAGCTCTCCCAGCAGCTGCACTCACTTGACCTTATGTGCAGGGCTCAAGGCAGAAGCAGGTTTAGGTGACAGCTCTTATCCCTGCCCCAACAAGTTTGGGCCTTGGTTCACCTGCCTGTAACACAGAGCTCATCTCTCTTCCAGAGCCAGTGCTTACTCCCTGCCATGGGGCTCTGCCACTTTGCCACCCTGGCACTGGTCCTGCTGGTGCTGCTGGAGGCTCTGGCCCAGGCCGACACACAGAAGATGGTGAGAGCCCAGTGTGGAGTCTGCCCTAGAGCCTGCTATTTCCTCCGGTTCCTCCCGGTGCCTGCACCCCCTCTCAGCTACTGTTTTCGGTCTCCACAGGTGGGAGTGGGCTCCCCTCTCAGCCAAGCCCTCAGGCTTCTTGGCCAGGGACCCCAAGTTCCCTGGGGTAATGGGGTGGGGAGGAGAGAGGAAGGGGGTTCTAGGTATTCGTGATAGCTGTTGGCCACAGCTGCCTCCAGCAGCTCCCCTCAAGGCTCAGGGAGCCCCAAGAGGGGCTGATCCTTAGTTCCCTGGAGCTCAGACCTCAGAGACCCAGCAGTGTGGCTGCGAGCATGGGTATGTCCTGTCCCTATCATCTGGGAGTGCAAGTGGGGAGTAGTGTCAAGGTATGGGTATATGACAAGAGTCTGTGGATGACAGAGGTTTCTGATAAGCCCAGTAGAAGGTCCCCAGCTGACCACAGCCTGGGAAGAGATCTTGAAGACCATCTCTTGGCTGGATGCAGTGGCTCATGCCTGTAATCCCAGCACTTTGGGAGGTGGGTGGATCATGAGGTCAGGAGTTCGAGACCAGCCTGACCAATATGGTAAAACCCAGTCTCTACTAAAAACACAAAAAAATTAGCCAGGACTGGTGGTGCTCACCTGTAATCCCAGCTACTCCAGAGGCTGAGGCAGGAGAATCGCTTGAACCCGGGAGGCGGAGGTTGCAGTGAGCCAAGATCACACCACTGAACTCCAGCCTTGGCAACACAGCGAGACTGTCGCAAAACAAAACAATAAAACCATCTCTCTGGCTTCAGGGGGCAGTGGGGCCTAGGTGTCCCTGGCTTTTGGGTTAGGGGAGGAGCTTGGCAGAGGTTGAGAGCAGCCCTGAACATACTGCTTCTGCCTGCAGCCCAGGGCTGTCTGAAGACCTGCTCCACACCTGTGTCTGTTTGCGGGCCTGTGCTGCTTCCCTCAGCCCGAGTCTTCCAGGTCTTCATCCTGGGCCAGTCCATCATCCTTGGCCCCTAACTGAGGGCCCCCAGACCTGGGTTCTGCTGTTGGCAATGCCACCCGTTTGCGTGTAATTTTTGGCTGATCTCTTCACTGTCCTCCTCCGCATCCTTCCAGCTTGCACTGTTTGCCCTTCTTCCATCATACCCTTAAAGGCCAAGGGAGTTTCACTCTGGTCACCCAGGCTGGAGCACAGTGGTGCAGGCAGGGATCAGGGCTCACTGCAGCCTCGACTTTCTGGGCTCAGGTGATTCTCCCACCTCAGCTTCCCGAGTAGCTGGGACTACAAGCATGTGCCACTACAACCGGCTAATTTTTAGTATTTTTAGTAGAGACAGGGTCTGGCCATATTGCCTAGGCTGGTCTCGAACTCCTAGGCTCAAGAAATCCTCCCACCTCAGCCTCCCAAAGTGTTGGGATTATAGGCATTAGCCACTGCACCTGGCCAAGGGGCCTTTAAAAATGGTTTATTTGATCTTCCCTCTCCCACGATCAACATATATGTATGCAATAGGCCACAGTCAGATCTGGGCCAAGCTGCCTTGACTCTTAGCAGGGCTGGGACTGAAGCCTGGGCCTGGAGAGAAAGATGCCTGGTTGGGCTTGGCACTGACCATGCCATGGAACCAGTGGACGAGTTGGGAGAGGCAGGGGAGGATGGAAGAGGGGAGCAGACAGCATGCTTTATAATTAAACTCAAGTCCAAAAATAGAAGCAGCATCAAGTGTGTGAAGACAGGCAGCTGAAAGCCGGCAGCACTAACTGCCCGTCAGAGAAGTACACAGCCGGGGCCAGATACTCCCACAGGTAGGTGAGTGCCCCTAATTGTTGGGGGGGGGGGATTCCTGAGCATGCTGGGTAATGAGGGCCAAGACACTTGGGAGGGGTGGGGTTTGGGTTGGGTGTGGAACCAACTGGATCAGAGCTGGAAGCGCAGACAAAGTATAGTAGAGTTAGAAAGACCTGGGCTTGAATCCTTACTCCCACATCAATTGGCTGTGTGACTTTGGGTGTGTTGCTTAACCTCTCTGAGTCTCAGTTTCCTCATCTGTAAAATGGGGATGATAATATTACCTGCTTCATAAAGGCACTGTGAGTGTTCAGTGAGAAAATGTAACCACCTAGCTCTGTCTGGCATCCTTGGTAAATGCTAAATATAATAATTATTGCTGGATAGAGAAAGAAACAGGAAATGCAAAGATAGAGAAGAAACCTTACTGTTCCACAGGGGAGTTGCCCTCCACCTAGGATATGGCTGGGGCTGGAAAGGGTAAGAGTAATTATAGTAATGATAATAATAGTAAGATGCACCATTTATTGGGCATCTCACATGAGACAGACCCTGTGGGAGGTGCTTTACATTCACTATTACATGGGATTCTCACAGCAGCCCCACTGAAGAAACTGGCTCAGTGAAGACCACACAGATGCCAGTACCGGACCTGAGAATTCTGCCCGGGTCCGCCCTCCCCAAGGCCCACAGGCTGAGCACAGAGACCCACATCTGTTCCCCACTGGCAGCCACACGCCGCCCTTCTGCAGGCCAGGCTCCTCGCTGGTCCTGCACTGAGATCTCCAGCCCCACATGGCCATACTCCTGACTGGCCTCTCTTGGGTTAAGTCAGAAAAGGTGGGCAGGAAGAAAGTCCTGAAGCTGCAGCTGAGAGGTGGATGGCAAGCAGCTGCCCTCTGCCCCAAGGAAGCCTCTGCCTTGGCCTGAAATTGTGGGCACCCGGGGCAGTGTCACGGGAGGCTTCGAAGGCTCATGAACTTCCTGGGGGGGCGGGGTGGTGGGAGACAGGGACAAATGCGGGAGTGACCCAGGGAGGAGAGATACAGAGACAGAAAACAAGTACATGGACTTGCAAGCAGCAGCAGCGCAGGAGCTGGCCAGGAAAAGCCCTGCCTACAGAGGCAGCTGCTCCGCTGAGCGGCGGAGGCAGGAAGTGGGTAAGGAGGAGCGTGGGACCAGGGAGAGAATGAAGGCTGCAGGGAGTGGGAGGGGAGTCTGGCCAGCCCCTGGCTCTGCTCGATGTTGGGCCTGTGCTTCCGCGGCTAGGGCCCCGAGGAGATATAGAAGGCAGTGTCAGGCAAGGCCCTCCAGGGACCGAGTCTTGGGTCACAGAAACCAGGGGAGCTGCCACAGCCGCCGACTTCCCCTCCTTGGGAGGGCCTGGGGTTTGAAGGATGAGTCCCTGGGCGGATGGCTGGGCCTGACTCTGGCTGATGGGATGAGGCGGGCCCCCAGTGGGTTAGAGCAGAGAGGTGGGGCTACATCCTGAGCATCGGGAGCCAGGGCTTAGGTGGAACCTGAGCAGGAGAAGGGCTGAGTCCAGGGTAGAGCCCCATTCTTTATAACTGAGATTAGGTCCCCTTGGAGGCAGAGGCATACACTGTGGTCTATCAGCCCCCAAATCCTTGACCCCTCTGGAGCCTCCTGGGAGTGTGGGGTCCAGCTCTGTCCCAGCGGGAGCCTGGCTGCTGCTCCCGGGCACGGCTGGGCTGCAAGGCACCCATTGGCCACCTGGGGGCAGCCTCACACTATGCCAAGCTCCGTGAGCCCTGCGCCTGTCCCACTTTCCAAAGCCCCATCTCCCGCCTGGGGTGGTACAGCCCCACCTGGTGGCTCCAAACTAGTGTGGCTGTTGGACTCCCCTGGGGCCCGGGGGCTTCTCCTCCACCATACCACACTGCCCTCTGCAGTGACCAGACATCCAGACACTCCTCTCTCATTCTCTGGTCAGATCCCCAGAGCATCCTGAAAGTCAAGTCCAGGATCCCTAGCATGGAAAGATAAACCATGGTCCAGATGGGGGCAAAGACTTGCTCGTGGCCACAGAATGAGTCATGGCAGAGTCCCAGGGGAGCCAGGCTCTCCTCCCTGCCTCTGAAGCTCTCTTCACACATCTTCAGGTAGCCTCCCATCTTCATGGGGGGTTATGGAGCCAAGAGTCTTCAATCCCAAAGAGATACCAAGCAGAGAGAAGGCCTGGGGATTTGAAGGGACTGAAGGGCCCACCCCAGTCCACAGGGCCACACATGGTCAGCTCTCACGGAATTCTAGCCGCTTCACAGTGTTTGTGTTCTGGGTGGAACCTGCCCAGCCCTGTTCCGCTCAGGCAGAGTCCTACCCTGCACCCACTCCCCCATGCACAGCTCCAGACCATGCCCTAGATAGGTGGCAGGCCACTCAACCTGCCTGGAGAGGTCACAGTGGGGGATGAGGAGGACAACTAGGTCTTCGCTTCCACCTTGCCCAACAGCCTCTCACTGGGTGAGCCTGGCCAAGTCGGCGGCTTCCTGGGTACCCGTTTCTCTTTCTGGTCCTGGCACTACCTACCAAAGGGAAAAGGTATTCTTCCCTGTATGTACCTTTCCTAGTCACTGGTCCAAGGGATCAGGAGCAGTTAGCAAAGAAAGCCCCTCTTCTCCAACACGGTGCCGGGCCCATGTTCTGGTGCCGCTCAAAATCCAGCTCCACAGGGTCCCAGACTCCTTCAGCCAGCCGATGTTTGAAACAAGCCACCCAACCCGGTTGGGGCCTGACACCCAGCGCTGGCCTGAGTCGTGGGGGTAAGGAGGAAAACCCGGGGCTCCGCAGTGCCAGGCTCCCCTGAGGAAACAGAAGCGTTAGTGATGACTCTCTGGAGGCCCCAAAAATGGGAACTAAAGACTTAGGGATAGACTAAAACCCCAGCCTTGCTACTCATGAGCCATATGGCTTTGGGCGTCACTTTTTAAACATCCTGAGCTTCAGTTTCCTCCTGGGTAAAACAGACGGACATGCACAAGTGAGGCATCAGGCTTTTTGTTGCTGTTGAGACGAAGTCTCTCTCTTGTCGCCCAGGCTGGAGTGTCATGGTGTGATCTCAGATCACTGCAACCTCTCCCTCACAGGTCCAAGCAGTTGCCCTGCCTCAGCATTCCGAGTAGCTGGGACTACAGGAGTGGACCACAATGCCTGGCTAATTTTTGTATTTTGGATACAGAGTTTTCCCATAGGCCAGGCTGGTCTCAAACTCCTGACCTCACGTGATCTGCCTGCCTCGGCCTCCCAAAGTGCCCGGCCAGAGGCATCAGGCTTATAAAAGGCATTAGCTCATTCCATGTGGTGATGTTAACAAATACCAGCTTACAGCCCTGGCCTCTTACCTGGAGATGGGCTCTGATCTCCAAGCACTTAGGAGTGGTGGGGGGACAGGGGTCTGAGGATGAGCACTGGAAGTAGCAGGTGAGGGACTTGAAATGAGCTGCCTAGGTTGGTTGTGGGGCTTCCTGGGTGCCCTGAGAGCCACAACCATCTGGGGTTTTCATCCCTACAAAGTCTAAGCTAACTTAGAGGTGAGATCTGCACTGACTAGTGTCACAAATAGGGAAATCCAAGGCTTCCTTGGCCAAAGCTTCATACATCTGCAGCTCAGCAGAGGGCAGGAGAGAGGTCTGCTCAGCTCCACAGCAGTGACAAAGGATTGATTCCCTGGTTCGCTGGGGAAGGGTTCTAGGCCCCAGTCCCAGCTGAGCTTGTTAATAACTCATGTGAAATAGCTGAGGCCCTTCCTGCAGCATCCCCGTGGCACCTGGCCACTGCACCATGGGCCTCCCCATCAGCTGGATCCACTCTCGGGGAGCCTGCCTCCAGCCATTGTGGTGTCCACTCTGTTCCAGGATGGACTCACTGCAGAAGCAGGACCTCCGGAGGCCCAATATCCACAGGGCAGCCCGGGGGGCACCATATCAGCCGCCCACGTTGGCTTCACTGCAGCGCTTGCTATGGGTCCGTCAGTCTGCCACGCTGAACCACATCAATGAGGTCTGGCCCAGGCTCTTCCTGGGAGATGCGTGAGTAAGACCCACATTAGGAGTGGGGGTGGCAGAAGGGTGTGAGGTTCACATGGGAATGGGGGTATGAGCCTCTCCTAGAGCCCTCCAGGGCAGAGGGGGCACCCTTGCCTCCCACGGTCTCTTCCCCTATTTTTCTTTCCTTTTATATTATCACTGCTTTTAACTGTGAATTAGAATGCACATAAGAAAAGTGTGTGCATTCACAGGGCTGGGCATGGTGGCTCACGCCTTTCTTTAATCCCAGTGCTTTGCGAGGCTGGGACAAGTGGGTCACTTGAGTCAGGAGTTTGAGACCAGTCTGGCCAACATGGTGAAACCCCATCTCTACTAAAAATACAAAATATTAGTAGGGTGTAGTGGCAGATACCTGTAATCCCAGCTACTCAGGAGGCTGAGGCAGGAGAATCCCTTGAATCTGGAAGGTGGAGGTTGCAGTAAGTTGAGATCATGCCACTGCACTCCAGCCTGGGCAACAGGACGTTTTTGAAACTCCATCTCAAAAAAAGAAATGTGCACAGAGCATGTATGAACAGCTTCATCACCCAGTGAAGAGAAAGGACATTACTTGTCTCCCAGAAGCCTCAACTGAATCTTTTTCTTTTCTTTTTTTTTTTTAAGATGGGGTTTCACCATGATGGCCAGGCTGGTCTTGAACTCATGACTTCAGGTGATCCACCCACCTTGGCCTCCCAAAGTGCTAGGATTACAGGCATGAGCCACTGCGTCCCACCTAATACTGAATCTTTTTCATTATAACCTTTCTATTCTCTGTGGTTAATCACTATCTGTTGAATTATTTCTGTTTTTCTTTAAAGTTTTACTACCTATATACTTAAACAGTGTAGTTATTTTCACCTGTTGTTTAAAATTATATGAGTGGAATCATATTGCGTGTGTTTTGTGCTTGGCATCATTTGCTCAAATTTGTGAGTCACCCACGTTATTAGGTGTATCTGCAGTTCATTCATTTTTTCACTGCTGTAGATTTCATTATAAGATTATGCCACAGTTTATCCCTTTTACTGCATATGGACATTTGAATTGTTTATACTTTTTGACTATTATGAACAGTGATCCTAGTAATATTTTGTTTTTATATATTTTTTTATTTATTTATAGGTAAGGTCTCACTCTGTTGCCTAGGTTGGAGTGCAGTGATTAACATCATTCATTGCAACCTCAAATTCCTAGGCTCAGCAATTCTCATACTTCAGCCTCTCAAGTAGCTGGGAATACAGGTGTGCACCACCACGCCTAGCTAATTTTTCTTTTTTTTTTTTTTTTTTATGAGGCAGGGGCTCACTCTGCCACCCAGGCTGGAGTATAGGAGTACAATCTCCACTCACTGCAGCCTCAACCTCCCAGGCTCAGGTGATTCTCCTACCTCAGCCTCCCAAGTGGATGGGAATACTGGCATGTCCCACCATGCCTAGCTAATTTTCGTATTGTTTGTAGAGATTAGGTTTCGCCATGTTGCCCAGGCTGGTCTCAAACTCCTGAGCTCAGGCAATCCTCCTGCCTCGGTCTCCCAAAGTGTTGGGATTACAGGCATGAGCCACAGTGCCTGGCCTGAAAAGGAGTCTTTTTTTTTTTTTAAAATTCAAGATGGAGTCTTGCTCTGTCATCTAGGCTGGAGTGCAGTGGAGCAATCTTGGTTCACTGCACCCTCTGCCTCCTGGGTTCAGGGTTCAAGCAGTTCTCCTTCATCGGTCTCCCAAGTAGCTGGGATTACAGATGCCTGCCACCACACCTGGCTAATTTTTGTATTTTTAGTAGAGACGGGGTTTCACCATGCTGGCCAGGCTGGTCTTGACCTCCTTGACCTCGTGATCTGCCTGCCTTGGTCTCCCAAAGTGCTGGGATTACAGGCATGAGCCCCTGTGCCCAGCAGAGTCTTGTTTTTTTTGAGATGGAGTTTCACTCTGTTGCCCAAGCTGGAGTGCCATGGTGCAATCTTGGCTCACTGCAACCTCTGTCTCCCAGGTTCAAGCAATTCTCCTGACTCAGCCTTCCACATAGCTGGGGCTACAGGTGCCTGCCACCATGCCCAGCTAATTTTTGTATTTTTAGTAGAGATGGGTTTTCACCATGTTGTCCAGGCTGGTCTTGAACTCCTGACCTCAGGTGATGCACCCACCTTGGTCTCCCAAAGTGCTAGGATTACAGGCATGAGCCACAGCGCCCAGCCCAAAAAGGAGTCTTAAATGCTAATGGGAGGAGCTCCTTCACCCTGGGCCAACTCACAGGCTCTTGTCTTTACCCTTGGTGGGTGGTGGGCAGGGGTGTTTGCAAACTTCAACCCAGCCGGAGCTGCCCCAGTGAGATCTGCCTCCACCCTCCTAACCCTTTGTGCCCTCCCCTCCAGGTACGCAGCCCGGGACAAGAGCAAGCTGACCCAGCTGGGAATCACCCACATCGTCAATGCCGCTGCAGGCAAATTCCAGGTGGACACAGGTGCCAAGTTCTACCTCGGAATGTCCCTGGAGTACTATGGCATCGAGGCGGATGACAACCCCTTCTTCGACCTCAGTGTCTACTTTCTGCCTGTTGCTCGATACATCCGAGCTGCCCTCAGTCTTCCCAAAGGTGCACTTCTAGGGCAGGCATGGTGAGGGGTGGAGGGTGGCGGGGTGTGCTTTGGGACTCTCCATTTTTCTAGTAGCACTGGTGGGTGGGAGTCCAGAGAAACAAATCCTTTCAGCAACCCTCCCACTCCATGGGGCAAATAGCTACTACCATTCAGTGAGTGTCCGCTTCAGGGACACCCTAGAGACCAGCAATCACAGACATAACTAAGATCCAGTGGGGTCATCAGCATCACCACATCCCTCCATAAGAGGCCAGGCAATGGACAGGTACAGGACCCAGAGAAACTCTTGAGCGGCTCCTCTAAGATGAAGCCTTGGCATAGAGCTGCAGGGGCAGGGGAGAGAGCAGAACTCGAGGGAAAGGGAGGTAGATAGACCCTGCCTGTAATCTAATGCAAACCCAGGGACCCCAGGAATTCAGTAAACTCTCTTCCCCTGGCCCAGAGTTGTAAAGGATGCCTGAGGAAGCACCTGGACCGGGAGAAGGAAATCACAGCTGCTGACCTAAAGCTAACTCTGCCACTAACTTGTGATATGACTCTGAGCCAGTGTCCTCTCTCCAGGCTTCAGTTACCCCATTTGACAGGGAAGACAGTGTTAGTGTTCCAGTATGCTGTGGAGGATGGTCACGGGTGTTTCTTCTTCCCAAAGGGATGGGTGGTTCAAGGGCAGGTAGCTGATGCTAGGTTGGTTCTCCCCACAGGCCGTGTGCTGGTACACTGTGCCATGGGGGTAAGCCGCTCTGCCACACTTGTCCTGGCCTTCCTCATGATCTACGAGAACATGACGCTGGTAGAGGCTATCCAGACGGTGCAGGCCCACCGCAATATCTGCCCTAACTCAGGCTTCCTCCAGCAGCTCCAGGTTCTGGACAACCGACTGGGGCAAGAGACGGGGCGGCTCTGACCTGGCAGGCGGCCAGGATCCCTGATCCTCCATCCAGCATCGCCCTACCCCACCAGCCTGGCCCTGGGGACAGCAGTCTCTGCTGTTTCTAGTGACCCTGAGATGTAAACAGCAAGTGGAGGCTGAGGCAGAGGCAGGGATAGCTGGGTGGTGACCTTTCAGCAAGTGAATTTCCCTGACCCGATCTAGAGATTCTTTATGCAAAAGTGAGTTCAGTCTGTCTGTATAATAAAATGTTCATCGTCATAAAGACAGGCGATTGTTTGGTGGTCTATGGGGCAGTGGCTTACTCTTGGGATGGTCACAAGGTTCCAGATGGCTTGCCAACTCTGATTCAGTGGGATGGCAGCCTGGGGGAGGGGTCTGAGTCCGTGACAAAGGCTTCCTGAGGAAGGAGGACAGGTGGGAATAATTCGTGAAATCTGCTTTGGGTGCAGGAGGAAGGAACGGGGGTACAAGTGTGAGGATTAGATGACCTCATCCTCATTTTGTCCTCCTCGCATCCTCAGGCAAAAGTTAGGTTGTCTGCTAAAGACCCAAGTTCAGCCAGGCGCGGTGGCTCATGCCTGTAATCCCAGCACTTTGGGAGGCCAAGGTGGGTGGATCATGAGGTCAGGAGATCGAAACCATCCTGGCCAACATGGTGAAACCCTGTCTCTACTAATATACAAAAAATTAGCTGGGCATGGTTGCACGTGCCTGTAGGCAGGGGAATCACTTGAACCTGGGAGATGGAGGTTGCAGTGAGCTGAGAACACACCACTGTACTCCAGCCTGGCAACAGAGCAAGACTCGTCTCAAAAAAAAAAAAAAGACCCAAGTTCAATGTATCGCCATTCTCTCCATGCTCATCCTACCCAAAGCTGACTATCAAAATTCACTGTGCATAAATAGCTTCTCTTGAAACCAATCAGTCTTCTCATTAACACACTGCTTTCAAAAGGACGGCTTAAAATTAGATGCCTAACAAATAAGAGCATTAAACAAGAGGACTGGGAAGGAAGCACACCAGAAATACTAGGCAGAGGATGGTTATATGATGGAACAAAACAGCTCTGAGTTTCTAAGTTCTTAGCACAACATAAAATAAAACAATAAAGCCCCTCCCCCCAGTTCTTCACCTGTAAATACCTAATAAAAACTCAAGGTATTTATGAGGATTAAATGGGCAGCTTTCCTCTACCTCTCTTGCTGCTTTTAGTGAGCTCTTGCCTTCTTTGTTTGTGTATGTGTGTGTTTTGGTGGTTTCTGGTTGTTTTGAGACAGGGTCTCTGTGGCCCAGGCTGGAGTGCAGTGGCACAATCAGCTCACTGCAGTCTCGACCCCTGCACCCCAACTCAAGCGATCCTTTCATCTCAGCCTCCCAAGTAGCTGGGACCACAGGTGTGAGCCACCACACCCAATTAATTTTTTAATTTTTTGTAGAGACAAGGTCTCACTAGGTTGTCCAGGCTGGTCTTGAACTCCTGGAATCAAGTGATTCTCCTGCCTCAGTATTCCAAAGTGCTGGGATTACAAGTGTGAGCCACTGCGCCTGGCCCCTTGCCTCCTTTGGCGGGCCCTTCAATGTCAAGGTTGCTCAGAGTTGTATCCTTTGCCTCCTCTCTCCTTTAGTGTTTCTGCTCTCCCAAATTCTCTGTAGCACTTGGTCCCAATCCCACGTTGTTGTTGGCTGCCTCAGGCGCTTTCTGGGTCTTTTCCAGAGGGTATATGTATGTCCTACATGGAGGATGGCAGGAGGGCTGGTGCAGCAATATTCAGCTCAGTCACAGGACCCAGCCCCCACCAGGCAGGTGTAAACACTCCTGGGCTCCTCACCCTAGGAGTGGAAGACTGTTTTCAATTCATGTGGGGTGGTGGAGTCTGATTCTCTATTAGACAAAGCCAGTCCCAGCTCAGCAGCCTCATCTGCCCATCCCAATCCCCTTGGATCCCTTCTCCACCTGACAGCTCAGTGCTTGTTGCTGTTTCTTGCTTATCACCATCAGTGACTCAAGGTAGCGGCTCCAGAAGCCAGTCATCCTCATCTGAGTATGGGTAGCCTGTCCCTGCCAGCTGGGGTGGGTGCACTGAGGCTGTGACAAAGCCACACTCTGGGCCTGGGGCCTGGGTTCCAGCAGGTCACTTTCTTGGGGCTCTGTGGATTGGGTGCAGAATCTGGGGCTGCAGGGGGAGACTGAAGGAAACCATGAGGAGGCGGGTGGCAGGAAAGCCAAACATTCACCAAGTACTGAGGAAATCGAGGCTGAGCTTCAGACTGGCACCTCCCCTGGGATGCCTCCCTGCCTGCCACACTCACCCAGGGAAGCCTGTAATACTGTATCTCCCTCTTCTAGACAGCAGCCTTGTGAAAGGAGTTGTGTTTTGTGAAGACCATGACTTTGGAGCCAGACTCTTTGGGTTCAAATCTACCTCTGCCTCTTGTCAGATGTATGATCTCAATTAATCTCTCCACATCTATCCATAACACAGGATTTATGACAGCCACCATATAGGATTGTTATAAGGATTAAGTGGGCCATATAGAAAAGTGTTTTGCACAATATGTGGTGAGTTCCCAGAAATGATAGCTGTGGCTGGATGCAGTGCCTCATGCCTGTAATCCCCATACTTTGGGAGGCCGAGGCAGGAGGATCGCCTGAGCCCAACAGTTCGAGACTGGTTTGGGCAATGTGTCAAGACCCCATCTGTTTTATAAAAATAATAAAATAAATAAATAAATGGTAAATCACAGATCAATCATCATCACAGCACATAGTGCCTGGGCTCCAGTCTTGGACTAAAATCTGACAGCATTCTCAGTGCATTGAATAGATGGTGAATGAGTAAAAATTAGCTGACTTAAAGGCAAGGTAGTATCTGGGATTGGATCCTGGGTTTTTTTTTGTTTTGTTTTGAGATGGAGTCTTGCTGTATCGCCCAGGCTGGAGTACAGTGGCACAATCTCAGCTTATTGCAACCTCTGCCTCCCAGGTTCAAGCAATTCTCTTGCCTCAGCCTCCCAAGTAGCTGGGATTATAGGCGCCTGCTATCACACCCGACTAATTTTTGTATTTTTAGTAGAGATGGGTTTTACCAGTTGGTCAGGCTGGTCTTGAACTCCTGACATCAGGAATTCAAGGAGGCCACCCACCTTGGCCTCCCAAAGTGCTGGAACTACAGGTGTGAGCCACTGCACCCGGCTTAATTTTTTTTTTTTTTCAGAGACGCAGTCTCACTATGTTGCTTAGGCTGGAGTGCAGTGGCTATTCACAGGCGCAATCCCACTACTGATCAGCACAGGAATTTTGACCTGCTTCATTTCCAACCTGGGCCGGTTCACCCCTCCTTAGGCAACCTGGTGGTCCCCTGATCCCAGGAGGTCACCATATTGATGCCAAACTTAGTTCGGACACCCAATCGGCATAGCACACTACAGCCCAGAACTCCTGGGCTCAAGCAATGCTCCCACCTCAGCTTCCCGAATAGCTGGGACTACAGGCACACGCTACCATGCCTTGAGACTTAATTTCTTTAATTGTTTTTCATTTATTTGTTTTTTTTAGTAGAGACAGGGTTTCACCATGTTGGTCAGGCTGGCGTTGAACTCCTGACTTCAAATGATCCACCTGCCTCAGCTTCCCAAAGTGCTGAGATTACAGAAATGAGCCACTGTAATTATACCTGGCCTTGGATTGGATCCTGGAACAGAAAAACTGGTGAAATCCAAATAATGTTTGTGGTTTAGTTAATAGTGTTGCAGCAATGTTAATTTCTTTGATAAATGTAGCAAGGTTATGTAAGAAGCTAACATCAGAGAAAGCTGAGTGGATATACAAGAAATGTCTCTGCTATCTTTATAAGTCTGCTGTAAATCTAAAATTAATTCAAAAATAAAAAAATTAGCTGACAATTACCAACTGCTTTGCATATGCCAGGCACTGTGCCAAGTTCTTTAGATACATAATTTCTTTTTTTTTTCCAATTTCATCCATAATTTTTTGTCTTTTGGAAACACACAGAGCACAGGAGCTCAAGGCTACAGTGAGCCAAGCTGTGACTGACCACTGCACTCCAGCCTGGGCGATAGAGTGGGACCCTGTCTCTAAAAAAGAAAAAAAAATCACCTATCAAATACAACAAAATGTTAAGATTTTACCATATTTATGGAGTTATGGGAATATAGGCGTTTATTATACGATTTTTTTATATTTTAAAAAATATTTCATAACTTTAAACATTAAAAATAAATCTACAAACTTCTAAATTAGGAACTTCCTATTCTATATTTAGGTTTTGAAACCGTCAAGTCAAATGGATTTTAGGAAGTATTCTGGGCCGGGTGCAGTGGTTCACGCCTGTAATCCCAGCACTTTGGGAGGCCGAGGCGGACAGATCACTTGAGGTCAAGAATTGGAGACCAGCCTGGCCAACGTGGTGAAACCCCATCTCTATTAAATATAAAGATTATCAGGGGCATGGTGGCACATATCTGTAATTCCAGCTACTTGGGGGACTGAGGCACGAGAGTCGCTTGAACCTGGGAGGCAGAGGCTGTAGTGAGCCGAGATCACGCCACTGTATTCCAGCCTGGGCGACAGAGCGAGACTCTGTCTCCAAAAAATAAATAAATAAAAATAAAACTTAAAAGAGGCTACATGGCAAATAATCTTGCTTAAGAAAAAAGGTAACGATGATTCAGTTGGAAGTATTCAGATAAAATAACTGTGTTGAAGAGAAGCTAAGCCAGTAAGTCATACTCTCCATCGTTTCTTTCATTCCTCACAATACTGTAGCGTGGGTCCTGTGAACACCATTTTATGGGTGAGAACACAGGTGCAGGGAGATTAGGCCAGAACAGCAGCTAGCATTGAGAGCTTTATTATCTACCCATGCTTTAGTCAGCCAGGCTAGGCCAATGGTTCTGACAGCCCCTAAACCTCGGTGACCTAAACTCAACAACACTATTGGTTGACTGACATTTTTATTTTTGAGACAGCATCTCCCTCTGTTGCCCAGGCTGGATTGTACCACCTGGAGTGGTACAATCACAGCTCACTGCAGCCTCAAATTTCTCGGCTCAAGGGATCCTTTCACCTCACGCTCTCAAGTAGTTGGGACCACTGGCAAAAGTCACCACGCCCCACTGATATTTTGTAGAGACAGGGTCTCCCTATGTTACCACCCTGGTCCCGAACTCCTGCACTCAAGTGATCCTCCCGCCTTGGCCTCCCAAAGTGCTGGGATGACAGGCGTGAACCACTGCGCCCAGCCA